TGCCGGCGTATGCACGCGCGGAAGTTCACCACACACACCACTTCAAGTACCCAAGGTTAAGAACCACTGCTCTGATTACAAGCAGCTGGTTGGGATTTTGTCTGAGCATTCACAAGGAGAGTGGGGGACTCAGAAGTATCTGTAGGGTTACCATTTCCCAGGCTGGCTGTGGAATTCTGGGAGTTGAAGTCCACACGTCTTCAAGTTACCAAGGTTGAGAAACACTGCTCTGATTACAAGCAGCTGGTTGGGATTTTGTCTGAGCATTCACAAGGAGAGTGGGGGACTCAGAAGTATCTGTAGGGTTACCATTTCCCAGGCTGGCTGGGGAATTCTGGGAGTTGAAGTCCACACGTCTTCAAGTTACCAAGGTTGAGAAACACTGCTCTGATTACAAGCAGCTGGTTGGGATTTTGTCTGAGCATTCACAAGGAGAGTGGGGGACTCAGAAGTATCTGTAGGGTTACCATTTCCCAGGCTGGCTGTGGAATTCTGGGAGTTGGTCCACACATCTTCACGTGGCCAAGGTTGAGAAACACCGGTTTAGCCACTCTGGGCACCTGATGAAGTGAACTGCAACTCACGAAAACTTCTGCCTTCTACTAAAACCTGTTAGTTGGAAAAGGTGCTGCCAAGCTCTTCCTGAAGAAAAGGACCGATGGCCTGCTTTGCTTACACCACAGGAGTTACCTTCCCAGCCCCATCCTAAATGTGATCCGGAGGATCCCATAATCCTCCCTCGCAGATCTGAGGTCCTGCCAAGCACATGAGACACTCGTGTTTGCCATGCAAACATGGGTCTGATTCCTCTGCCCGAGCAATCATAAGTGAATATGACAAATCCCAGATAAGCGATCAATTTCTCAGTTCAGCGCAGCATGTCAGATGTGAAGGGAAAAGGGTGCTTCAGGGGACATGCAGGGTGCCTGGAGCATCAGCCGGCAACTCCTTCAATCAAACCCATCTCCAGCTTTAAAGAGTTGCTGACCATTGGTATGTGACCGCCCTACGTGCTCCAAACCCCCTTTTCCCCTTTGAATCTGAAACCCCACACAACCCTATAGATAATTATCCATCAGTCTCTCACCTGAGAAGGTCTTGCTCTTTGCCAACCTGTAACAATCCAGTCTTGGGGGTTCCTTCTCTTCTTCCATCACATCTGGAGCTTCAGGTCAACAGAAAGACTGAATTTTTATTAGAGCTTCTGACCTCTCAGCCCAACACAATAAACCCCACAACTGGAGTCACATGCTTAAAATTAATCATCTGAGCTTAACACAGATGGTTACATCAACAGTGACTCAACTTGTGGCTTAATAGCAATATCAAAAACATTGCAATCGTTTTAGGTATATTCAGGCTCACATTTGCCTGCTTGTAGGTTCTGTAAAATAAATCATTTCTTCCTGGGAACTTAAAAGTACTTGATCTAGAAGTTCCTTCTATATATTTCAATAAAGGGAACAGGATAGAAGAACACAGGTCACAGTTTTCAAGGCACCAGAGCAGTGTTTCTCAACCTTGACAATTTTAAGATGGGTGGACTTCAACTCCCAGAATTCCCCAGCCAGCATGGGCTGGGGAATTCTGGGAGCTGGCTGGGGAATTCTGGGAGTTGGAGTCCACTCATCTTAAAATTGCTGAGGTTGAAAAACACTGCACCAGAGTGTCAGGGACAAGTGCATGCTTTGAAAATCTCTACAATTTGAACAGGCCTTGATCGACAGAAAGATGCACGAAACAACATTACAAAAGAACACCTTTGAATCCTACACCCCCCCTTAAGTTGGATTCCCAGAAGAATGCTTTGCGTAATTAATGTTTCTATCCTCCCTAGCAAACTCTGCTTTGACCCAGCAGTATTTCCCGTCAGTGAGGGGGGTCCAGAGCAATTCCTTTTGCTAAAGCTGGAAAATCAAGCTTGTCCCGCCATTTGGAAAACTTGTTTGAACCCCAAAGGAACCCACTCGACTCTAACTAGCAGAGGGCCCAAATCATGTTGCTGCACATGAATGAGCCCAGGCAAATTGTGAGAAATGGGGGAGAGGAACAGTGCAGAATGAAATACAAGAGATTAAAAGGGAACCCAGCTGCTAAGGCAATTCTCCCAGAGTTTAGCCTCCTCTAAGATATACGGTGAGAGCCAGTTTGGCCTAGTGGTTAGGGTACCAGGCTAGTAAACCAGGGGATTCTGAGTTCCAGTCCTGCCTTGGGCACAAAACCAGCTGGGTGACCTTGGGCCAATCCCTTTCTCAGCCGTAGGAAGCAGGCAAGGGCAAACCACTTCCAAAAAAACTTGCCAAGAAAACTGCAGGAATTAGTCCAGGCAGCCGCCAGGAGTCAACACTGACTCGAAGGTGCACCCGGCCCCCCAAGATATATAGCTCCTAACTGAGCAGGTGCCTTCCTGGCTACTCTGATGTCGTTTTCTTGCCAATAATGCAAAAACGATTAGCCGCTGCCTTTTTTCAGGAGGCGGACCGTCCCGGGAAAGGTCCCGCGTTCAAGTCTCAAGACTCGTTTTCCAAGCAAGACTAGGTTCAAGCAAGGGCCGCCCCTGCTGGAGCTAAAGGAAATGATTGGCATGACTTAACTCCCTTTACGCTTCCCAACAACCCTGCGAGGTAGGTTAGCCTGAGTGCAGGCGCAGATAAACAATCCAGTGTTTCTCGACCTCGGCCGCTTTAAGACGGGTGGACTTCAACTCCCAG